GTAATCACTGTTATGTCCTTAAAAAAGGAAGGAAAAAAAAATCTGATGATGACAACACATGACTTCTGGCCAATTCCCTGTTGTTATGTCACTTAACAATCTTAAGATTTTTAACAGCATTACAACTTTAGAATTTTTGGTAAAGTGTTGCCATACATTTCTTTTTATATTCGATATATTACTTATATTTACTATAAGAATATTATTTCTTTAAAAATAATACATAACTATAACACTGGAGGCAGCATCTTTTTATTTGAAAAGCGGTTCGGCAAAATTGAAATTAACACATAGAGGATTGAGTCTAATGAATTTAATCGCTTCAGAATGAGAACTCGTCTTCATAATGAAATTATTCTCGTTGCATTTAACATAATTTCAAGAATACATTTAATGCTTATAAATGTAATATGCTAATCTCAATCTTATTTTAAATACCAGATTTTAGATGTTTTAGATTATATTATAATATATTTACGAAAGTTCCTTCAGAACTTCAAATAAAATATTACTTTCGCTTTAGCAATTTTAGGCAAAAATCTAATATGTTGCTCCATTGATATAAAAGTCTTAAATACGAAAACTGAAATGCTTTGAATTATATTTTAATATAGCTTTTCGTTAAAATTTGTTATGGACTTTCCCGTAGCATACCGCTTCCTACTGCCCAATTTTACCCAAAGTCTAATTAGCTCTTTATATGAAAACAGAGAGCTCATATACGAAAAATGGAAATTTTGGAAATTTTATAATATAACAGTTACTGTGGATCCCCGCCCATAAAAAATCGTCACACATATACACACAGACAGGCAAACATCATTCTAAAAATAATAATGACTCTAATACAGGCTGGTTGAAATTCACTGCAAACTCACTATCGAAACGTTACCTCCAACACATATGTTGGTTGAAAGTTGGCGGGAGACTCCTCCCCCCCCAAAAAAAAATCAACCTATAGGATATTTCGACTAATCAAGTTAAAGGTTCTAGGCTTACTAGGAAAGGTTAGCTTTAATTTTTAATACATTTTATTAATGAAGAGAAAGAAATGTTAAGTCCGACTGTTGTGAAACTGATTAGCTGTATCTAACAAATATTAAAAACAAATCTCTTCATTTTGATGTACGAGACACAGATGGCGTTGGCTGTCATTGAAGTAGGAATAAAAAAAGGGTTTTCCCCTTTCGACCTCGTGACGTGAACTGATTAAGTGTGTAATAACTTTCGGGGCCAGAAAAATTTCCCGACAATTGTTAAAAAATGTATATATTTTGTAGTATAGAGAGAATATAATTAAATAAATCAACATATTAGAGTTTTTATTACAGATTCAACATCACACTACCCAGGTAAGTGAGCAAGTTTTGTCTTTAGTTTTTCTGGATTGCTCGGTATCTGGGATGAGTGAAGGAAGTATTTTTATTTTAATGATATTTAATGATAAGGCTATGTTTTAGTAATAACATAAAGTGGCGTCCCGTAACATAAAGTGACTCTTAAGAAATAAACTTAAAAAAAAATATTTTAATGGTTATAGATAGTTTTTGATGTATTAAAGTATAATTAAGTTTAAATTCGAAACTATTTTTTGTAAAGCAGTTTGTTTTATTTTGAAAGTTAACTATGGAAGCTTTAAAGGCTCTGAAACTTAAACGGGCAGGTTTACGCACTTACTTTTGCAAAAACTGCTAATATTTTAAAAACGGAATTAGTAAAAGAAGATTTTTCTGTAGATTTAGTACGAGATAAACTTACTAAACTACAAAATGTATATTCAGATATAAAAAATGTAGATGATAAAATTCTTGATTTGTTAGCTGAAGACGGGAAAACTTTAGAGGATGATGTTACTAAAGAAATCGAAAGTCGCGAGGTGTATTCTGATGATTTCATAACACTAACTCGGCAAATTAATGAAAAATTGCAATTTTCAGATGAAATCAATTTAGAAACAAGACCAAATGATGGTGCTGGTATTTGTTGTAGTAAGATTAAACAGTATATAGACTTCCGAAAATCGAACTTAAGAAGTTTGATGGGGAATTGATAAATTGGTTACCGTTTTGGTCGCAGTTTGAGAAAATTCACACTGACCCTGATTTATATGAAAGTGACAAATTTTCCTATTTGATTCAGTGTATGAAGCCCGGATCACGTGCTAAAGAATTCATTGAAAGCTATCCGGTGACTTCGGAAAATTATGATAAAGCTGCTTTAGCTTTGAAGGAACGTTTTGGGAAACCTGAATTATTAGTAGAAGTGTATGTTAGGGAACTAATTAAATTAATTGTTTCTAATGTGAAGGCAGATCAAAAGGATAAATTACCTCTTGATAAACTGTATGATAAAATTGAAGCTCAGTTGAGAGCCTTAGAGTCTTTAGGTCTTAAATCGAGCGAAAACACATCGTGGTTATTTCCGATGGTGGAATCGTGTCTCACAGAGGATGTTTTAAAGGCGTGGCAAAGGAGTTCGTTCTTTAACCAGCCTGAAGAAACTGATATTTCTCGCCTTACCAACTTAATGAAATTTTTAAAGTCTGAAGTGGAGAGTGAGGAGAGATTAAAATTGGCGCGTAATGGACTCGATGGTGTTAGTCGTAAAGAAGGATATCATGATAAAGCAAAGAGAGAAACAAAAGGTAAATTTAAATTTAAGAAACAGGGAAATGTTCCCACTGCCACAGGTTTTCTTAAACCAGAGAACATGCATGTATTTTTTGTGGTAAAATGCATGATAGTAAAAATTGTTACGATGCGCGTTCATTATCTCTTAATGAAAGGATTTCTAAAGTTAAGGAGAAAAAATGCTATTTAAAATGCTTGGAACCAAATCATATGGCAAAGTTCTGTAAACAGTTTGTTAGGTGTTTTGCTTGTGGTAAATCACACTCAGTTATTTTGTGTCCGGACATTAATAATGAAACTGAACTTCCTACAGAAAAATCAGAAATAGACAACATACATACGGCTACAGCCAGGCAAACTTGTACCGCTGATATAGCTTTAATGAATTTTACGCGTAAGAGTAGCTGGTATCAAAAAGCATAAAGATGTTAGAGTACTCTTAGATTGTGGTTCCCAGAAATCGTATATTTTGAAATCATTAGCCACTGAATTGGGGTTACCAATTATTTCCAAAGAAAATGTTGCTCTTACTTTATTTGGAGGTGCCAGAACAGAGGCAAAGATTGCATAACAAATATTTGGGTAAAATTATGTTCAGCCAGTCCGCGTAAGTATTCAGATCTAGAATTTGAATTTTTAGATCAAGACATAATATGTGGGGGATATACCTCGGGTACCCAAGGGTCCAATATTAAAAGAATTACAACGAAACAACATTTGGTTGTCGGATCTGGGAGCAGATTGTCCAAAAATAGAAATGCTCATCGGTAGTGATATTTATGGAAAAATTCTCACGGGATCAGTAAAACAACTAAAAGGAGGACTAACAGCAGTTTGTACAAAACTTGGTTGGACAGTTTGTGGTGTATCGGAGGAATTTGTTAATCACAAAGATAAAGATGCTTCCATTTTGTGTGCAAGTTTAGTGGGTCACGACTTTAAAATCTCCGATCTTTGGAGCTTAGAAACGATCGGAATATTAGATGCTCATCAGAATTCAACTAACGCTGCTGAGGAAGAAATTGCCCACGAACAATTTTTAAACTCTCTTTCCAGAAACGAAGATGGTCGTTATTGTGTCGGATTACCTAACCTGGTTAGTATATAACGCAGAATTGCCATCAAATCGTCATGTAGCAGAAAAAATTGTTTCAGTGTCACCCGAAAACTCAAGTCTTTACATAAATATGAAGAATATGATAGAATTTTTAATGAATGGATGGAGGAGGGGTGTAATTGAAATAGTACCAGACAATGAACTGAATTATAAAGGGCACTACTTACCGCATCACCCAGTATTTAAACCAGACAGTGTCTCAACTAAGATAAGACCTGTTTTTGACGCATCATCATGTAAAGTTAATAGATCGCCCTCCCTTAATGATTATTTAGTAAAAGGGCCAAATTTAATAGAAGAAATCCCTTCAATTTTGTTAAGATTTAGAGAAAAATGCATTGGCGTAACCTCTGATATCCGGCGTGCATTTTTACAGATTGAATTACGGAAAGAAGATAGGGACTTTTTAAGATTTTTACGGTGGGAGAAAAGATAATGTACTGAAGGTTTTCCGCCATACGAGGGTAGTTTTTGGGAGTAAAGTCTAGCCCTTTTCTATTAGGAGCGGTTATTTCAGTTCATTTGGCACAAGTACCAAAGGAACAAAGTTCTATTGCTCAGAAATTAAATATAGGGGCGGTTATTTCCTTCAATTGGCACAAGCACCAAAGGAACAAAGTTCTATTGCTCAGAAATAAATAAATCTTTTCATATTGTAATTATGTGACTTCTGTTGATAACGAAAAGGAGCTTGTGAATTTTGTGAAATCTTCTACTGAAATATTAGCTGAAGCAAAAATGGACTTACGTATGTATGGACCTATGGCCCAGTAGAAAAAGATGTGGAACTAATCCCAAAGTACTTTGTGCACTGAGTCCACAATGGAGAATTCTGTACCAGTTTTTAGGAATTATGTGGGACAGAATAGAAGATAACCTTTATATTGAAATTAAGACTGTATTGGTTTCGGATAATTTGTCTAAAAGAGAGGTTTTGTCAGTAACGCAGACAATGTTTGATCCTTTGGGTTTCTTGACACCTGTTTCATCATTGCCTGCAAAGTTACTGCTACAGGAAATTTGGGCGATAAAAGCAGACTGGGATACTCCATTACCAGATAGTATCAAAAGTAAATTTTCGAGTGTGGTATAATATTACAAATTTTGAATAAGTTGAGAATACCGCGACGTATAGGTTTTGTAGATAGAAGTTCCTGGACACTTCATATATTTTTTATGCTAGCCAGCATGCTTATGCCACGGTAATATTTTTGAGATGCGAAACTAAAGAAGAAACATTAGTCAGTTTTGTAATGGCTAAGTCAAGAGTCGCACCCTTAAAAGAACTTACTATTCCCCGTCTAGAACTTATGGCCTGTCTTTTGGGCGTGCGTCTTTCCAAATATGTGACAGAAGCTCTTACATTGGATGACATCCCGAAATATTTTTTGGACCGATTCCACCACGGCCATATCTTGGATTCAAAAGAAATGATGCGTGGGGGACTTTGTGGGCAATCGCGTGAAGGAAATTTGCACGTTTTCACTAAAGCAAATCAGTGGTCATATGTACCGGGTCATTCTAACCCAGCTGATTTACCTTCTCGTGGTTGTTCCCCTCTTCAGTTTTTCCGAATTAAATTGGTGGAGAGGGCCTGTTTGGCTCAAAGACCTAGAGATAGTTGGCCAAAATTAGAAGGTTAAGCCAAATGAAACTTTAGTTTTTTTCAGAGCGCAGGAAAGGCATAAATTTAAATGTAAATCTTAGTATAACTACAAAAGCGGATAAAGTTAAGTGGTGTGAGAAGTTCTCTAAATTTTCAAAAATGTTAAGAGTTTTAGGTTGGATAAAGAGATTTATCAAAAATTGTCAAAAGAAAATTGTAAATAAAGAGCCTTTTCCTGTCTGCTTCTGAGATAAAGGAATCTAAAATTATACTTCTTTCACTTGTTCAGGGGGAGAGTTTTCCAGAGACTGGAGACTCCATCAATGGTCTTTTGACCGTACGAGATCAGAGTGGCTTAAGAAGAAGTAAAAACGAAAAAAAATCACCGAACGAGATGATTCTTATGCATTCCGGTACCCGATTTTATTACCTTCTAAGCATTATATTGTTGACTGTTTAATTAGAGATTACCATTAAAAGCATTCTCATGCCGGCGTACAAGCATTAACTGTTATAATTAGAGAAGAATTCTGGATCATTTGGTGCAAGACGCCGAATTAGATCGGTGGTGAAACGGAGTGCGTCCGTTGTAAAACGATTTTCAGCTAAAACCTCCAACTACTGCACTGATTCAATTACCATTAGACAGAGTTCGATGATGCGTTTCGCATTTGAAGTTACCGGCATATAGATTTATGTGGCCCTCTGATTCTCAAAAATAAAAACAAAGCCTGGGTAGTACTGTTTACGTGTGCTGTATATAGATGTGCACATTTGGAACTAGTGACATCCGTAAGTACCGAATGCTTCATTCAAGCGTTTCGTCGGTTCATAGCCAGAAGAGGTCGGCCATCTACAGTTTACTCAGACAACGGCACAAATTTCGTCGGTACATCTGCATTGCTGAAAAAAGGTGACTGGGTAAAGGTAACTTGCTCAGGAAACTTTGCATCCCATCACTTGGAAGTTCATTCCACCCACTGCTGCTTGGTGGGGCGGATGGTGGGAGCGTCTAATCCGCACAGCCAAGAATTTGATTGTGAGAGTCTTAGGACAAGCTGCAGTCAATTACGAAGAGTTACTCACCGTCATCTGTGATGTGGAAGCCGTAGTAAACTGTCGACCACTAACTTATGTGTCAAATGACTCTGAGGACCTTCTACCATTAACGCCTTCCATGTTCTTACAGGACATTAAGGTTTCAGGTACAGCAGATTTGGATGCTTTAGATCGAAATAAACTGTTGGCTCGTCAGCGTTTCTGCCAGGAACTTCGAGAACAATTTCGTAGCCGTTTCCGCAAGGAGTACCTTGGGACAGTTAGTACAAAAGCATGGACAGACGGACTGTGAATTAAAAGTTGGAGACATCGTGCTAATAGGTTGTGGAGAACCTTAAAAGAGTGAACTGGCCAATTGCTCGTGTCCAAGAACTTTCTACAAGCAGAGTTGGACGTGTAAGAGTTGTAAAAGTGAAAACTAGAAATGGCATACTGATTCGTCCTGTACGTAAACTGTACCCTCTAGAAGTGTGTGTTCCTGTACTAAGGATACCATTATTTGATTTTTGATTTTCCTTCTGAAAATCAAAAAGGTGGGAGTGTTGTGAAACTGATTAGCTGTATCTAACAATATTAAAAAAAATCTCTTCATTTTGATGTACGAGACACAGATGGCGTTGGCTGTCATTGAAGTAGGAAGAAAAAAGGGTTTTGCCCTTTCGACCTCGTGACGTGAACTGATTAAGTGTGTAATAACTTTCGGGGCCCAGAAAAATTTCCCGACAATTGTTAAAAAATGTATATATTTTGTAGTATAGAGAGAATATAATTAAATAAATCAACATATTAGAGTTTTTATTACAGATTCAACATCACACTACCCAGGTAAGTGAGCAAGTTTTGTCTTTAGTTTTTCTGGATTGCTCGGTATCTGGGATGAGTGAAGGAAGTATTTTTATTTTAATGATATTTAATGATAAGACTATGTTTTAGTAATAACACCGACTAATCAAAAATGTCATATTATTTGAAGTTCTGCCGTATCTTTTGGAAGAATAGCAGAAAACACTTTTTAACAAACAGAAATTTTTAAGGCAGTAAAGACTTGAATAAATAACGAAACCTAATTCGCTTCTCCCCAGAAATGAATACAATGTTGTCATAAAATTTATTTCTCCAATTTATAAATTGTATTAAAAATATAACCTTCAAAGCTAATTTACAGCCTCCTTTGTTTATTAGACGCAATCAGTGCTTCGATGTGGCTGCGCCTATCGTCTTCAATGTCACTCTAAGCAAAGGACAAACAGGTCAGTGACAAACAAAAGTGCTATGAGAAAACCCGAGTTTCCAAGAAAGCATAATATAATATTAAAAATTAAAACTGATATCTGAACCTAGGATTTGCTATCCATGGAATATGATTAACTGATCCTGAGCTACAAAAGTCGGTAATTCTTACTTGGATAATTTTTACGGATGATTCAGCCTTAATGATATGGCCAACTGCCCTTAGATGTGTAATCGGACTGAAAGCGCATTTCATAACCTATACAATATTCATTCTTAAACAGAGCAAAACAGTAACAAAAAATTCTTAATTTCGTTTAGTTGTTGTTCATGTTTATTATTTTGAGATATATAATGCATTGCGTTGTTTCGTAAAAAGGTAATCTGTTTAATAATCAAAAAGGAATTAGTCTTGTTTGGCATTCTCTTCATGTTACAAAGTCACTGCTAACTGTACAGAGCACATGAGCATCAGTTGTTCGACCCGAGTTTTCAGATATATACCAGTGAATGGATTGGCTATTATAGGGGTTCACAAAACGTAAAAATACTACAGTTAAAGAAAGAGCTGCGTATTTGTATTAGTCCATGAAAGAATAAAAATTATAGTTCGCCAGCAAATAACTGCGTGATTAAAGGATAAATAAATATCGAAAATTAAAAGTAAATCTATCTGCTTTGAGGTAAGTAATGTTCACAGCACTTTTCCTCTTGTTTATAAGAGATACAACCTTACATTTTGGAGGAAGCGCACATTGCAGTCAGCACGTACAATCTGCTGAAACTGTGCTTTCCGTTAAAAGTGTTATCAATAAAAGATCTTTTTGTTGCTCTTGAAACAAGCTACTTGATATACTGGTTTTCAAAAATTAGGGAAAACATAAAATTAGCAATGATGCATTAAAAATCTAACCTATTTGATAAAAAAAAACGGGTAAGTTCTTAGGAAAATGATGCTAAACAAAATACGCCGCGCGAAATAGTACCACTATAATCGGTTTATTTCATGAAAAAGTATTTAGAAAATGCATACTTTAGAGCGAGATCGTAATTTATGCTTGGGAGATAAGAAGTCTGACATAGCTATGATACAACGAAGCCAGTCATTGCATCATGGCTATTTCGGGCAAATGATACAACAAAGACATTTTTATACACTGACTTCGTTGTACCACATGCCGGACGAACTACATTGGGAGACTTGAGGCAGAATGAAGTCCGACAAAACTTAGCGGAATAGTAAAAGGAAGTCCATATATTTCGAAAAAATAGAAATTTTCTTCAAAACTGTAGGTCTGTGTACCTATGGATGATTTAATTATAATCTAGATTCGTCCTCAGAAAAGCCAGCAAGAAAATGCCCAAAGCTGTTATGAGTTTTGAAAACCGATACCTGTAATTATGTTCAGAAAAGAGGAGGACCTCGACATCAGCCCGACTAAGAGCTTACTTTTCAGGATCGATGGTACAATATTTTATTATGCAAAGAGGATTTTATGCAGTATATGCGAGAACATCACGCATATGTATATCTCTCACCTTTGGTCAGAGGAGGGAACGTTTGCGCTGGGTACGCCAGCATACAAACTGGACTTAAGTCTGTGGAGGTTTGTTCTTTTGGCAAACCTCAATATCTTTCCATGTAGAACCAAATGCCAAAAATGTTGAAACGATATCCAGTGATGCTTGCATAAATCATTATGTAGGTGCAACACCTGAAAAATTGTTTTCCGAGATGACAGCATCCGACCCCATAGAGTTCATATGGTGAAAGAACCTCTTCAGAACACATTATTTGGGGCACGGAGTGGACACTTCCATTCCTTCGACCTGAATCCTATTACACACGTCTGAGATGCTTTAGGAAACATTTTATTACTCTCAATGTTCCTTTTCAAACGCTGATGATATACTAAAAACAGCTTTGCAAGAAGCATGAGTTTCGTTCCGTACTGAATCTCATACCCCACACTATCAAGTAGCAGCATGGAAAATGGCTGCAGGTGTTGCTACCCAAGATAATCACATTCTGTACATAAGTTACCTTCCGTCTCCAAGCTAACATCTCCAGTTTGTAGTTTTGATTCCATGTGCTAGAAAATAAACTTGTTTTTATTACATCTTACTGTCCGGTGGGTGTTATTATATGCCGACCAAGTTTACTAAATATATATATTTTTTTTTTCAAATGGCAGATTGTGAACAATTACAAATGTAACCCAGTTCATTAATCTATACAAGGCCGGGTGTGGTGATCTCTTTATTATGGAGGCACCTAATAAGTGGGCCACCATACCCTTTCCTATGAAGGGACGGACATTTACAACCATGCCTTCCTCCGCGATTCGAACCCAGGCCCTTCGGCATCGCAGTCAGCTTCCCTGACCACTATACCGACGGGGCGGCAGTTTACTAAATATCTACCTCTATATTTCTATGTTTTCTACTTTTGTAAGTTTTCTTAATGCTGAAAACCCGCGCATATTTTGTTTTATTTATAAATATCGTTAAAGTATTGAGAGAAAAAATTAACTGTTAACCGAATTAAGAAACATAAATCTTAAAATAAAATGATTGCAACATAAATGAATTCAATTCAGCACTAATATGTTATCCAGACCTAAGATAGTTAGAAGAAAAAAAACTTGATAAGCAAGCTTAGGAACTTATAAAACATGAGTCTTTCTCTGTTTGAATTAACACACGTGTCGTCTGTAAACCAGTACAGATTTCCTTAATGATTAAAGC